GAGCTGGCTGTTCTGTCTCTGATTCCCCGCCCCAGCGCACTGCTTACTGAGGCCAGGGCCAGAATATGACGTCATATTCCGGCCCCGGTCTCATTAAGCAGCGCGCTGGGGTGGGGGAGCAGAGACAGAACATCCAGCTCCCCCCGCAGCCGCTAAAAGAGCTCCCTTTGCGGCTGCTAGAACAGCCACCTCCCCCATGCGCCACCATCAGACTGAGCTCCCCATGCAGCCGCCAGCACACATGTAGCAATGTGTGTCTCTCTGTCTGTGTCACGGTATGTGTGTGTGTGTGTGTCTGTCTGTCTGTGTCACGGGGTGTACGTGTGTGTCTCTCTGTCTGTGTCACGGGGTGTACGTGTGTGTCTGTCTGTCTGTGTCACGGGGTGTACGTGTGTGTCTGTCTGTCTGTGTCACGGGGTGTACGTGTGTGTCTGTCTGTCTGTGTCACGGGGTGTACGTGTGTGTCTGTGTGTCACGGGGTGTACGTGTGTGTCTGTGTGTCACGGTATGTGTGTGTGTGTGTGTCTGTGTGTCACGGTATGTGTGTGTGTCTGTGTCACGGTATGTGTGTGTGTCTGTGTCACGGTATGTGTGTGTGTCTGTGTCACGGTATGTGTGTGTGTCTGTGTCACGGTATGTGTGTGTGTGTGTGTCTGTCAGTGTCACGGGTATGTGTGTGTGTGTGTCTGTCAGTGTCACGGTATGTGTGTGTGTGTGTGTCTGTCTGTGTCACGGTATGTGTGTGTGTGTGTCTGTCTGTGTCACGGTATGTGTGTGTGTGTTGTCTGTGTCACGGTATGTGTGTGTGTGTCTGTCTGTCTGTGTCACGGTATGTGTGTGTGTGTCTGTCTGTCTGTGTCACGGTATGTGTGTGTGTGTCTGTCTGTCTGTGTCACGTATGTGTGTGTGTCTGTCTGTCACGGTATGTGTGTGTGTCTGTCTGTCACGTATGTGTGTGTCTGTCTGTCACGTATGTGTGTGTGTCTGTCTGTCACGTATGTGTGTGTGTCTGTCTTTGTCACGGTATGTGTGTGTGTCTGTTCTTGTCACGTATGTGTGTGTGTCTGTCTGTGTATGGGTATGTGTGTGTGTCTGTCTGTGTCACAGTATGTGTGTGTGTCTGTCTTTGTCACGGTATGTGTGTGTGTCTGTCTTTGTCACGTATGTGTGTGTGTCTGTCTTGTCACGGTGTGTGTGTGTGTGTGTGTGTCTGTGTCACGTATGTGTGTGTCTCTGTCTGTGTCACGGTATGTGTGTGTGTCTCTGTCTGTGTCATGTGTGTGTGTCTGTCTTTGTCACGGTGTGTGTGTGTGTGTGTGTCTGTGTCACGGTATGTGTGTGTGTCTCTGTCTGTGTCACGGTATGTGTGTGTGTCTCTGTCTGTGTCACGGTATGTGTGTGTGTCTCTGTCTGTGTCACGGTATGTGTGTTTTTACTCACCTTTTTTTTTCCCCCACGTCGTGCTGGTCTCCCCTCGACTGGCCCTGCCTCTAAGGCTGAGATCATCAAGCCAATCCACACTGACACAGGAAGCACCTCTAGTGACCGTTTGAGTGTCTGTCACTAGGAAGCAATGTAAACACTGCCCTTTCTCTAAAAAGTCAGTGTTTACATTGAAAAGCCTACAGGGACAGGCTATAGACACCAGAACCACTACATTAAGCTGTGTGTGTGTGCGCAC